GGGAATGATCTTCCAGGAAAAGCCAAACCGTATTTATCCTTTTATTGTTATTTTTTCTCCCTCCCCCTTTTACTGTTTTTGTTCTGCTGCCTTGAAAGAACAGGGAGCCCTCCTGAAGTTCGTCTGGCCACAAAGTTACGACGGCACTGAAAAAATGTGACTTCTCACCATCTTTCCCACCGTTAGGACCTTTACAATACAATGGCAGAGTTGGACGGGACCTTGGAGGTCTTCTAGTCCAACCCTCTGCCTAGGCAGGAAACCCTACACCACCTTCAGAGAAATGGTTTTCTAATCTCTTCTTTAAAACTTCCAGTCTTAGAATAGAATAGAATACAACAGAACAGAACAAGTTGGAAGGGACCTTGGAGGTCTTCTAGTCCAACTCCCTGCCTAGGCAGGAAACNTGCGATTGCTACGGGAAATGCCTGGGAGGGAAAAGTTACGCCTAGGGGTTTGGCATGGGAACCTCAGGCTCTGTTTCACCTGACCTTTAATAAACTCTCTTTCTGAAAAAATGGAGTCAAGGATCATTCTTGCTTAAAGATTCAAGTTGAGGCAGGATTGACCGTGGTTTATAGCAGTTTCTTCAAGCTTGGCCAGTTGAAGATGCGTGCACTTATTAAAACTCCCCAAATTGGTGCTGGCTGGGGGAATTCTGGGAGTTGAAGTCCAAACATTTTCAAAGTGGCTGAGGTTGAGAAATGTTGCCTGAAAATGAGAAGCCTGCACTGTGTTAGGGAAAAGACTTGCAAAAAGAGTGCGGCTTACGAAACACTGCTCACAAAACTCTGTCCTCATTTAGCAAGTGCCTTGTTGTGCAACCTTTTGCAGTTAAAACCGATGGAAATGGGAGGTTTACAGCTGATTGAGCCTGGCCTTTATGAGATCTGGGGGATCCTGCAATGGCCGCTAAGTGTGACGGTGCATTTCCCAGTGCCGTCGTGACTTTCAACAGTCACTAAACGAATGGGTGTCAGTGGGGAGACCAGCAGGTTCCCCAGCAGCCTCCCCCTCCCTGATTTATGAATATTGATATGGAGAGTCTGCTTCTTTCATTCCCACTGCAGAGGGATCCCATCTACCTCAACCATGCCCAGGATTCTCTTGGGCGTTGACCCCTTGAATTATTTACACTCTCTTCCTACAAAGAGTCTGGTTTCCCACTCCCCCCCCCTCTCCTGCCCCGTGTCCATTAGCGCTGCCCAAGGCCATCCCCTTCGACCCCAACCCCCTCCCCGCTCTGCCCCAGGTCGAAGAAGGAGGCTTTTAATAAGCTCCCTCGGGAAGATACTCCCCCAGCGAGCTTCTGGATGTCGGCTGTTGCTCAGGTGCTGAGTTTGTGCCGTATCCGTCATCGGACGTTGGTGACCACGTTGACGATTCTATTTTTATTAACAGCCACATAAAAAAGTGCTGGTGAGTTTTGTCCAAACCGGCCCCTTAGATTTTGAAGCCCTGATGTTCTTCTTCTGCCTGGACCTTCGTTTGCCTTCAATCTTTCCTGGGAGGATGAAGTCAAGGATGACGTATTTTTCCGGGTGTCGCATCCCATGTCCGAAATATTCTAACTTTCGACTTCTAATGGTTTTGATGATCTCCCTTGGCTTTCGCGGGTGTCTTATCCCCTTCCTCCTTTCCGATTTTGTCAAGCCAGTTTATACGTATAAATCCACATCCCAAATGCTTCTAGTCCTGCGATGGCTAATCTGTCAGCTGTGCCTCCATCCATAACCAAGGAAGAAAACTCCTAACTCTCATTGTTCATGGAATTAAAATGCTTTTACTGGTTGTGAAAAGATAGCAGCGAAAGTAAAGCAAGATCTGAGCCAGGGAGGCGCGAACAAGCACATATCAAATGATAACCCAGCCGCCTCCCTCCAATGACCCCGCCCCACTGTCCAATCTGCAACCGTTCTTAGGTGTCATGTGGGGTGCATCTCCAAAAAGCATCATCATATTGGTATGCAAGACCGTTGGCCTTGACCAAGTCCAAACACCAGCCACCACCATGCGAGAAGAAAACTCCCTTTTCCATATCAGTCCTGTACCATTTATTCCCATCCCAAATTCCATGCCTCCTTCCCCGTTTCTACGGCAGCCAATAAGGTGGCACACGGAGCCCTCTCTGAGGTCTCAGTACCTCCCTTGATCTTGATTGAATCCCACCATTAATGCAACTGAGGATTGTGTTGGCTATTTTGGCTGCCACCACACACTGCTGGCTCCTATTTAGCTGGTACAGTGGTCTCCAACCTTGGCCACTTTAAGACTTGTGGACTTCAACTCCCAGAGTTCCTCAGCCAGCAAAGCTGCACTAAGACTGCACTAAGACTCGAAGGTCCCTCTCAGTGTTCGTGCGATGAAGAAGCCTGGTTTCACCCAGTCTATAGGTTTAATTTTGGTTTTTCCTGCCTAGGTGCAAGACTTTACTTTTCTCCACACCGAATTTCATTTTGTTAGATAAGGTCCAGTTGGCCATGGCGAGTTAGCTGCATCGAGTTGGCCGTGGCAAATTGTGCCGTTCCTGAAACGGCAGAGGAAATCCTGGTGGTCCATCGAATCTTCTCCCTCTCTGCCTGGGGTGGAGTTCCTGGACCGGCTCAAAGCGTTTCGGCCACCAACATGGCCCGAAAGGCTCCCACAGAAGGGGAACACTCTGATCACGCTCTCTCCCAGCGCAGCCTTACTCCAAAGCTCTTTTAAGTCCTTTAAATTAATAATTAGCAGTTCTCTTTAACAAACGGCAGCGTTTGATCCCGGAGAAGCAGCGTCGACATGAAAAATTGATCACCCTCAATGAGAATCGAGCGGCAGAATGTTTCAGTGCTGAGAGGCGCATGGGTTTGGGGGGGGGGAGGAATGAAGAGGAGGGAAATGCTTTTAAGAGGCTCGTAAAGATGCAAAAATCTTCCCACTTAATGTTTTTTTTCCCCATCGCTGGTTTCCAAAGAGGAAGCCAAAGTCACTTAGCTCCTGTCTCTCAAGGGGCTTCCTCCCCAGAGGGGCACAGTCAAAGGGCGATCCCCCTCCCCTTCGTTCCTCAAGTCAGGAGAGCTGGAGAGAGACGGCTTCTGCCCTTAAAATGCCGGCCTGCCAACCTCCCCTCCAGAAAGAGAACAGGGTGCCAGCCGCGTGGTGCAGCTGCCAACGAAGCCAATGAGACCCTGGCCTGCACCAACCGAGGAACTGATAGCATCAGGGCCGTGATGGATGACGATGCCACTTTGCGCTGCGTGAGCGAAGCCACACCTGTGTCCAGTTCTTGTCGCAACGATATAAAAAGAGACGCGGATTCTGGGAAAAACAAGTGCAGAGAAGAGCAAGAAAGAGGATCGGGGCCCCATCATTGCAAGAAGAGATTGGACAGCCACTTGCTGTCATTCTAGAACAGTGTTTCTCAACCTTGGCAACTTGAAGATGTCTGGACTTCAACTCCCAGAATTCCCCAGCCAGCATTCGCTGGCTGGGGAATTCTGGG